TTATTCATAATGGGGAAAGGCTAAATAGGTTGAGTTCATTATCGTTACAGAAAAAAATTGAGGTGACCCAATCAAATTAATTCGAAATTAAGTGCGGTGAGGCTGATAACTCCACACAAGTCAGGAGTTCAAATAAGAATAGGAGACACAATCTACAAAAGTAAGAAATTACGAGCAGGCAGGGAGTCGAGCTAGAATTACTGCGTCTGGGAGGTGGCAAACACACAGCATTGGCAAACAGGGCCACTGGAGAAAAACAGTGAAAATGGATAAAGAGATGGGCAAAGATTGTAGGATGTAAAAAGGAGAAGCTGGAGGAGGAAGGGACGAACATGAAGATGGATTTGAAATAAATGGGTAGGGACAGTGCTTATTAAGCTAACTAGATTTATTTCTCTGCTCAGAAATCCTTATGTCCTTACAAGACAGCATCGAAGCAAGGTCTTTAATTTTACTTTTCCTGGGTTTATCGCTTGGGCCTTAATGTTATTTAACAGCAGCGAGCGTCAACCACTTTCACTGCAAAGCTGGACTTAATTCAAAATCGTTAAATCTGGTGGAAGCTTTTTCCTCTTGACAAAGACATCCTGAAGAAGCTGGTGTTTCTCTGGCAAAACATGGGAGTCGCACACCCTAGAACAGACACCACCGAAATACTGATGGATAGATCAGGGACGGGGAGACAGCATTCCCCCATAAATAATGGTAATCAGGATGTTCCCCCCATAAATAATGGTAATCAGGATGTTCGTGATGCACACTATCACAGTTTAAGGGATTTAATCTCGTGGGAAATGGTTAAGACAAGGAACACCTTGATGCAAGCCACCTCTAGGAACCTCTTGAGTGCTGCTACTAGATGATGTGCAAGTTATTACCTGTGATGAGTTTCCTCCCAAGTCTTTACCAAGTCCTGTAACATTTGTTTTATCACTCAGGGCCAAAGGAGGGGACAGCGAGATCATAGTAGCGCTGGACTTGTTGGAAGAGGCTGTGCTGGGGACTGCCCTGCGTCCTGCTAGGACATACAGCAAACACAACCTTGGACCATCGTTTTGAGATCCTGTCCCTAGCTACTCAGTTTGAACAGCACTTGGGTTTTTAAAAGACTGGCCAAAACACCACAAATCTCTCAATGCAGCTGCACAAGCGACTTTCCTCCTGGCTCCCCATTTCATCCATGCCAAAATCTCACTTTTTGCACTTTCTGCCCTCTCTCCACGAAATGCAAACTGCTTCTCTTTGCCTTGAAGGTCCCACGGTTTAGCTTCTCTCTGTCCTCGCCTCTGATTCACCCCTAAGCGTACGGGGAGCATTTGGGATAAAGCTTCAAGAATGCATTCGACATAAATTATTCCCCTTCTAAACGGATTACAAAAATCCTTTTATTACAAAATATTAAAATGTTCAAATTAGTGGTGTGGAAAAACGTTTCCTGGAGGTAAAGTTTTTAAAAATTGAGGTTTTAATCACAAGCATAATCCTTTCTGGCTAACATTTCCAGTCTTGTGAAACATCTAGATACAAATTGCGCAGAGGCCTGGCTGTGCTACGAACAAAGGAAGATGCTGCCTGTAAATAGCTTAGAGGACATCAGAAGACACTTCTCTCATCAGCAATCTTTTTTAGCTTAATATAGCTCCTCTTTGCATAAAACATTGACATTTTTGCAATGTTTGGACCCAATGGCGCGAATGCTGATTGTCATCCGAAGATACTAGAGTGTACCTTCAAAAATATGCAAGAACATTTTACAGACAGTAGTTTTACTTGCCTCTAAAATGCTGTATCTTAATATTTCATACTTATATATATTTAAATGTTAGTACCACCGGATAAATGCTAACATGCCTTTATGCTAATGCAATCACTGAAAATCCAGATAATGTTGTGTATTGGCATATACTGTTAGTGAATTATGGATACCTAAATGTACAATCCCACATGCCTAGCAATTATTTTTGTTAGTGCATTTAACTTTTATTTGCAATCAGAGCACTTGAGGATTGTTCAAATGAAGTTTACTTTTGCAAACTGCTGAATGGAAAACATTTTGTTAAAGGTTTAAAAACAGTAAGACTGTGATGAGGTTGCAGAGTTGCAATAAGGGCACCGCTCAGAAAACCCTACCAGATGGAACGATGTTTGATTTGGTCACAGACTCAGCGATTAAACCCCAAATGCCTAAAATGAAGGACATATAAGAGAAAAAAGAGATAAAATCTTGATTTCCTCCATACCAGATCACCCTCTTCCATGGCAGAGGCTCACAGATAGAGGCAGACGGATGCCGGGAGGACAGCATCCGTCCAGGCAGCACCCAGGCAACTAGACCCTGGGACCCTTTGCTTTGAGGACCAAACTCGCCTGTACTAAGGCTGCGTTTCAAGTCCAGTTTAAGCCAAATAAATAGGAACAATATCAGGAGGGAGAAATCCTGAACTGCCCCTGCTGTACCTTCTCCTCCTCCTCTTTCTCCTCCTACCGCCTTTGTTGATCCAACGTCTTGGCCAGCCACCTGGCCCGTTGGCTCAAGATGCTGATCCACTTGAAAACCCTTTTATCCCAAGTCGGTTTTCAGCACAGCCAGACCTCTGAGCCAGGTCCCAGCTGGACCGCATGCAGGCAAGACTTGGGTGATGCAGCTGGTTGCTCCATCCCTCACCTGCTTCACTACCTTATCAGAGTTAAGGACGAAGCACATCTGGAGAAGAGTTGGCTATTTTTAAGTGTTGAAAAGTTCTGGATCTGACCCAAGCACATCTGAGACTGCTCAGTGTCCAGTGGTTTTCTCCTGCATAAAACAACTTGCCTACAGACAACACCACAAACTCCCTCTTCCAGATTCAGCTGCGCCAGGAGTTAATGACCTCCCAGGCTGGGCTGAGGAGCTGCTATGATCACGCCCCGATTTTCCTCTGGGAAGGTTTGCCTGGCTTGAAACGGCTGGCCGGAGCCAACCCGGCTGAAGAGACCTGGGAGGTGGCCACAGGCCCATTTGGTGAGCGGCAGACCACGGCCTCTTACCCAGGCATGGCTTAGCATCCAGCGTAGGATGTGATACCAGCCCCAGGCACACGAGGACGGATCAGATCGTGCCCCTACAGCCCAGTGAGCTGTGGCACCTCTGGGCATTTACTGGAAAGTCCTACCACCTGAGGCCCCCTAGGAACAACCACGAGTGAAGGAAATAAACAACAACCCCTCAGAAAAACACAAGACATCAGAAAATGCTTACCGTCAGGTACTTGGAATGCCCACGGCAGTTTAAAGGCAGCACAGAGTAAGCCGAGAAGATGTATGAGCAAACAAATTAAGCAGATAGCACAAAGCAGATGAGTTGGCATGTAGGTGTCTATTGAGAAAGCTTAAGCACAGCAAGGGGAAAAAAAGCAAAACCCAGGCATAATAGTTCTCACATTTTGGAACTGAGCTCTCAGACAATACATCATCCAAACCACTCAAAATTACCATCTGTCAGAATGTCCTTTAAAGAAAAAAAGATCTAAAAGTTTCCAAAGCAGTATTTTAATATTGTCATATTAGAAAAGAGATTGTTTCTGTCCAAAGAAAGGCATTTGCAATTAATTGAGGAATACTATATAAAACCATTAGTTTCGTGGCCACTGCTACACGCCCATATCATGAGACAATGGATTTCTTGAGTTTTGATCATGTCACATTAGCTAAATCAGGAAAGAAGTGATTTAATAGCCCTTGTCATTTTGCAAGTTACCTGCAAATATTTCCAGAGCCTCTACGTGATTTTCTCTTTATGAAACATATCATTAAGAGTCTACATGATATTAAAGAACCTAAGGAAACAATTACAATATTGCCGCAAACGTTAAGATACGCCAGAATATGAAGAGCGGGTCTGTGCTTCTGATGTGAAAGAGCACATCTTCTCGTGATCAGTAAGTCAAACTCTGTTTCAAAATATAGCTAGATCCTTTCCTGGTGTAAATCTGGGTACTTGCTGCTGTCCATGAGGCCCTATTACTTCGCACATGCTGAGGACCAACTGCATCGCATACAAGACCGCAAAAGAAATGCAGATTTGCAGACTATATATTAGACTAAGTGATAAATAACTTATAATGGTGGAGAAGGTGACCACGTTTTTAGGCATAGAAATATGCAGATATAACGGTCCTGACTTTCAATCTTCACTCTGCACTTCTGACCTTGAAGTTTGGGTACATCCAATGCATTTCTGAAGTCTCTGCACACGTGAATGTGCATCACACACCCCCTAAAGCCCCAAAACCCGTAAAACAAAAAGGGCCACCAAAAAGGGCCCACATGGTACCACCTATAGCACTACACGTTACGCCCTAGCACGAGGTCGACTGGGCTCCTTCGGGCAACAGCCACCTTCCAATGAACCACAAACATCCTTCAGACCAGTCTCTTCTTGATTCAGCCTGCTGACCCCATTCCTAACCCCACGTCTAATCGACACCCCTTTGGCTATGCCTGTGGGTTAGAGGCACGTGTCCATGGGGCTAAAAACCCCCTCCAAAGACCACAAGAGTTGCTACGTTTCCGAAATCAGCATCTCGCTATCCTAAAGCAGCCTGGGAGCAAGGAGCAGGAGGGAGAAAGGTGCTCCCTGGGGCACTCATAACCACACCATCCTCAAGATCTCCCCCCTGAGAGGGCTGCCAAGGGGAGAGGAGGGGAGGCAGAATTATTCCCCTCGGACTTTGTAAAAACAAGGAGCCCAGGGAAATCAAGAAACAATCGCAGTTTCCACACCGAATTACTTCTGGCTAAGTCTAACAAGCAGGGTGAGGACACACTGACAAGATGACCAGGGAAAGTGGTGCTGCAAGGAAAGGGCTAGGCAGGGGAGAAGACAATTTGATGTGTTGCAGGATGAGAGAAGCTTTCAGCTCCTGCTATTAGAAATAAATCAAGAGAGCTGAAGAGAAGCACAGAGCCTGTCTGGTCTCCCGAGGTTTTCACCCTCCCAGGCTGGGTGGGAGAGAGCTCACCTGGACAGCGCGGCTCCCAGGACGAAGGCAGCATGCTCCTTCAGCACGGCCTCGGTGCTGTTCAGCCCGTCGATCACAAGCTGGAGTCCACCCATGGAGAGGAAGTCCTTAGCATTGTCCACCTGGGAGAGAGCAGGTCCCCATCAGTATGAAACCCCCAGCCAGGTTCCACTCAGCGACTCCTGGAGAACGCCTTGCTTCAGAAAGCACAGCATCTCTTCCCTCCCAGTCTAACCAGCGCTGAGTTTTAAAAGCAATTAAAAATTAAGAGGGAACGACTGTGGCTCGAATTTCGTACGATACTGTCCGTGAGCAGTGGATGTCATGGTTGCAGAAGCCCAGTCTACTGACAGGTGGCTATTATCACATGCAGAAGGCATCACTGATAACTCCAATACCTTGATTAACTATCAAAACTATTCTTGACACGTATTTTAGTAATTCAGGTGATGTCAAAAATTCGGTACATCGCATGATGTCAAAAAACCCCAGTTCTTTGCTCTCTCACCTGAGCAGGCCATTACTGGGAACCCAGGGAATTGTATGTTTTGCAAATGCAATTAATTAATTGATGCTCTAATTGTAGCACCAGGAGTTAGGGATGTTTAAGAGCCTGTGAGCAGCAACAGCACACGGGCACAGCACCACCTCTGCTCGCAGCAAAGAGCATGGACGGTTCTGGGCATTTTTCATGAGTACTGTCAACAACTTCATGCGGACGTGAAAAGAAAAAGCCAGTCCCTGCTTGGAAGGGTCAGCCAGGAGCTTCCCCTTGGGGCAGCCTGAGCAATGATTTTTCTAAAGCAGACGATATTGGACTAACTGCCAGTAGGGAAAAGTTTAAACATTAGTGGGGATTCACCAGTCTTTGACTTTAACCAGACTTGGGGCTAAGCAGGCACAAATCACAGTGGGCATCTGTTCTTGGAGAGGAGGTTAGAAAAGGGCTCCGAGTGGCTCGCAAACAAAATTTAGAGAAACAGCACAAAGTGCTTCAAGTACAAAATTTGGTTCAAAGTCAAATCGATGCATTTTGGTTTTCAAGGATTTTTTTTTTTTGCAATTTAAAAGGGAATCTGACGAACGCTCAGAATTGCGTGTGCAAAAAAATCGGTTTTAGAATTTCAACATTTCTCCTCCCTGAAAGACAGGGAGACAACAGCATATGTTGGCGGATGGAAATAGAACATAAAAACGAGTTACCAGCCGGGCAAACTGACCTCCCCAGCTTCAGCGAGCAGACCCCACTGATGGGGTGGGAGAGGACAAACACCACAAGGCGTGCAGGGTATGTCGGTCTCGGGCACCGCGCTCCAGCTTGAACGCTCTTTTAGTCGACAGTGACTTCATGCTTAGTGTTATATTTATCTCAACCATGTACCTGCACCAAAATTGGCCATAAGATGGATATTTTAGGTACCCAAGAGAATGAAGAAGCTACTTAGCTTTATGTCCTACGGGTATGTCTTTACCAAAGCAGGACCTGGGGAGCTACAGCTCGTCTCTTCTCCCCAGCAGGACAATACCCACCACTTGCTGTCCCCTCTGCAAAACCGGTGACAGAAAGACGATCCCCGCAGGTCTGCTGGGGCTGATTCAGGATTTGCAGCAGCTTTTGTATCCTTTCAGATCCTATTCTTTTAACTGTCCCTATAAACTGGACCTGCCAGACCTCTTTTCTGCAGACCCATCTTTGCCTACAAAGAAATCTATGCAGCAACCCAATTTCAGCTACCAGTGGGTGCTTTTATTGCTCAGCCTCTGTAAAAACTCTGAGGCTGTTTTAATGCTGGAATTGGACGTTGACTTCTGCTCAAGAGGGAATGCACAGACAGGCAGAAGTTTGCATCCAGCATCAGTCGTGGTAAAACCAATCATCCCTGTATCCTCAGCAGCACCAGAGTCCTTCAGGCCAGCCCCAGCGCCAGTGAGACACCTCAACTGCAGAATATAAATTGTGCTGTAAAGCTTATTTTGAAGATGTATTTATTTTTTTTGAGTGGCGTCTGTTGTGAGAGCTCATTCCCTCACTCACCGTTGTAAAACCAACAAAACCCCCAAACCCAACAATGCGAAAATATTAACCTCTCTGGGGAGCGGAGGCTGCTGTGAGGCAGCAGCTCGTGCTTTGCTTCAGTCCACTGAAATCAGCACGGAAGAAAGCCAAAGATCAAAAGAGCTCTTGAGTAAAGTACACAGGCAAGGTGGGAGAGGAGAGGGATGGGAGAAGAGCAAATATGACAGCAGTTATTCAGGGAGACGCTTCAGATTGGAGAAAGAAAACGGGGAGGGGAGAGAGAAAATGTTAGAAAATGAGAGCGAGGAAGCAGCAGCATGTCAACCGTATGCAATGAAGAAGAAATTAGCAGTGAGAAATGGTGTAGCATGTCAGAGGAGGGGAGAGAGGAAGATAAGGAGAGTAAATAATTGAGAGAAAGAGCCTGCAACGCATGAGAACGAGTCTTGGCTCTGCACACTGCTGTGCAAGCACCGTGAATTCTGTTTATAAATGAGTTATGCTCTGGCCTCTTCACATTTGCATTTGGTTTTTATGCGTTACAGATAACCTAGCAAGCCAAACCTTCCTGCTCTTTCTCCAAGATGGGCTCCCAAACATGCCAAGTTGAATCCTGACTGATGAGAAGCAAACCAGAGCTGGCAACCAAAAGCTGAGCAAACACAGAGCCCTTGGGCTGACTCTTCAAGAGCAGGAGAGAGCATCTCTCCCCCGGCTCGGCACCGGCCACAGCTTCCCCTCCACTCCTTTGCAGCTAGCTCAGAGGCACGTGCTGCTTCACGGCCCAGCGCTCCGGGACGCCCGTGACCACACCACGGAGTGGAGAGCATCCTTTGCTTGCAAACCCTGCAGGGCACAGCATTTTCCACTCGACAGGGTATTTTGTGCCCCGGAGGCAGCAGCAAGGCAGCCGGGAGCCAAAGGATTAGCAAAAGCCATGGCACATTACCATTCGACGGAGGCCAGGGGAAAAGGGAGCAGTGGAGCCATCACCGGTCCCACGCGTAGGTGCGTGCTGCCCTGGGCCACCCACACCTGCAAGGATCTCTGTCCTCCAGCGGCACAGCCGTGACTCGCCGCAGAGGACTCCTGACAAGTTCAGCCCTTCCAGGGTCGTGCAGCACAAGCGTATTTGGCTGCTATTCAGTAATTACATTAAGCCAGTGCTGCTAAAGTCAGTACCAAGCAGAGATAATGCTCTGGACGCATTCAACTGGCTAGAAGAAGAAAGAGGAGGAAAAGCCACGCTGGCTTAGAGACAAGTCATATTTCTTATCAGCTTCCTGCCTGATGAGAAGGTGCTGCCCAGCCATCTGCCCCGACAGCGCAGGCACAGAGCAACGTTGTGATCGATGCACAAAGGAGTCCTCTGTGCTCCCTGCCAGCCTCCCTGCCATTTCCCCCCTTCTGACCCTTTTGACGCTGGATGTGGTTCCCTTTGATGCTCCAGGCCCCGCACAGGGAGCGGGGACCGCTTCCCCTGCTCCTCTCGCCTTTCTGAAATTGTTTGCCCCATCCCGTGCTGCAAGCAGGCAGAATTTTATGCTGGAATAGTCCAGGCTGTTATTCTGGAAATCAAAGCATCCCAGGGTGTTTGGGGGTTGCTTTTCAGCATGCCTGGCCTGATGCTCTGGCACCCTTAACCAGACAGAATTAGCCCCGAGTATAAATACGAAGCTCTTTGGGTGCCCATTGTTCACACTTATTCTCCGAGTCAGACAGATGCCATCAGTGAAACAAAAGCATTGAGAACAAATAGCAAGGAAGCCTCTGCATGCATGTGACTGAGATTTAGCGTGGAAATTCAAGACAAAGAGCCCTGGAAATAACACTTCTATTAGCTGGTGCATGGACTCCATCTCTCAGCAGCTCATTCCTTCAGCTATTTTCCCCAAAATGCCATGTTTGGTTTTCAGAAGTGCCATTCCAGTGAAAGGTCTTGCACTGGCATCTCCCAAGAGTTGTCCCAGCCACCCTCTGAAAAGATGAAGTCACTGAGAGCAACACTGGAAGCAGACTCTCCCAGTCTGCTCCAGACTCTCCCAGTCCCTGGGGAGGGAGAAGCCCAGCCCTTTCCCATGAGGCAGAACACAGCCTCGATGCCCAGACACCCAACCCAAGCCGCTGCAGCGTGGGAAGGCACCAAGCACAAGGGAAGAGAGCGGCGTGCCCGGAGCCTGCAACCAACGGGAGGTAAAACTGTGCGAGCTGAAAGCAGAGCAAGAGAGATCAGAGGAAAAAGTGTGAGCGTAAACCTGAGGAAGCAAGATTTCAGGAAATATACTCAACTCACACAGAGCCAATTAGTACAGCTCAGCTGATGCTCAGCAACTTGCCATTTGCCTGAGCCTCTTCAGTCATTTCTGCCACTGGCCCAGCTGTGAGAGAGGCTCTACATGCCATTTCTTACTCACGCCAAAACAAAATACAGGTTTTTGGGTGGCTGTTGTCTTCCCCGGTACAAAGACATTCTCTGTGAACTGCTGTAAGGGGACCTACCTGCAACAACAGATGCTTTCCATGGAAGAAGCAAGAAAATAATTCTTTTTTTAGCAGCCATCACTATACTTACCCCAAAATGCCAGATAAAACCCCATTTTCCATTTCATGATATTTAGCATATAGAAGAAGAAAAAGAGAGGGCAAGAAAAAAAGCCTGAGAACAGACAACAAATCAGGCAACACTAACCCCTAGGAAACTGTTCACTACTGGTATGAGCGATGATTTATCCAAACTTGGATATAAAATAAGCCTGCAGTAGCCCTCCGCTGTCTGTTATTGTCCCAGGATTATGATAATTCAGCAATTTGTATTACCTGATACCACTAAGAAAAATAAACCCATGTTTATGACACCGTATCCCCTGGATTTTACATGGTAGTTACTAATGCATTTTTGTTACCTGGTGAACGTAATATTCAAGATCATAAAGCGCCGCTACTTTTTCATCCAGCGTGGAGGCAGAGCTGTTGAATTTGCTGATTAATTTAACCATAATTTCATAATCTGTTTCCATCTTCACGTTCAGCTTTTCAAACTCCTCCTTCAGCTGCTCTATGGGCCGGAACTTCTTCCTCACCTCTTCCTCGTGAGCCTTGAAAGCAGAAGGAGGAAACCAGATATGAAGGCAGGTGATAGAGAGAGTCAAGAAAGACGTAGAAAGAAACCCCAGCCCCAGATTTACAAGAGGAACCTGGCTGTCTACACAAACGGATTTACTGCTGTGCATCAGAGGTGCAGGGGCAGCATTGGAGGGCCCTTCTGAGAAGCCCAGGAACCCAGTTATCTGTAAGATACCCACCTTGGGTACCAGCAAGCACTCCCCGAGGAGCTGAGCCTGTACCTAGGGCTTTGTACATCATTTCTACGTCCTATGCGCCTTCCAAAACAACGTAAAGCCCAGAGGCAGGCGGCACTGCTGTTCTCTGTTTGCCTGCAAGTGGACGTTCTCAAGACCTGGCTGCAAAAAGCCCTGAGCAACCTCCCCAATCTCACAGCTGACCCTGCTTGGAGCCAGAGATGGGGCTGGAGACCTCCAGAGGTGCCGTCCAGCCTGAACTGCCCAGTGACTCCATGCCAGTGACATCAAGGAGATCTCCTCGGATGCGTATTGAAGACGCTTTCATCATCCCAATCGCTTAACACGTTTCAGGATGGCTTTATCTCTCAGGGAAACATATGCACTCGCTGTTGGGGCCAGAAGCTGTCAGAAAGCAAGGCGGGAGGACCGGCTGCAAGATGGGGGCAGCTGAAGTGCTGTGCCGTGGGGCTGGGCCAGGAGATAGCTTGTCCTGCAGCGCAGCTGGTCTCCCTCGTACAAACAGCACTCCAAGAGCTGTGATGAACCAAGAGAGCTACAGAAAGGCGTGCGGTGAGGAGGAAAAGGCTCTGCCAGAGATCTAAGAAAGCCCCAGAGCCAGCAGGGACCAATTCTCCAGCATCAGCACTGGTGACACTGGGGCAGGCAGGGACAGAGCCTGCTGCTGCAGGGGACAGAGGAAGCAGAGAGGCCAGACTGAAATGGGCTGCCCCACGAGCAGGAGAAAGCAAGAAAGCCCCTTTTGAAAGGGATTCTGCCACAAACATAAATACCAAAATATGTTTTTATACAGGAGTGACCCCCAACTAGAGGGTTTGCACATGCAGCGCTCCCCCCAGCAAGCACTGCCCAGCTCACCCACGTGCAAACAGAAGCCGAATGCTCGAGCCAACAGAGAAAAAAAAAGAAAAACAAACCCCAAAAGAGTGATGGAAGTAAAGCACTGTCAATCTGATGGCAGCCGTACAAGCGGCGCTAATGACTACTGGCCTAATTACTATAGGTACTGCACGTAACAGAACACCATCCCAACCCCAACCGCACAGAATTGCTTTTGCAGGAACATAGATGGGAACACGCTTGGTGTAACTCAATTTACTTTGACACAGTTACTTCAAGGATGAATTTGCTCCCTGCAGGAGTGATTTTAAATGGAGTACTTTAGGTCCATTAGATGTAGCTGTTTTTAGCCCAGTTGCTGGGACAATAGCTATTCTAACAGAGTTTTTAAAAATATGGCTTATTTTCACATAAGAGAGTATCACTAATTTTTGCATTTAAATGACACTCATTTCAGGAAGTCCTGCTATCACTGGTGCTGGCTGCTACATAAGTAATCTTTCAGAAAACTAAATGATGCCCTAGTGCCAGCTAGGGGAAAAAAAGACTTTCTGCAACTCCAAGACTTTAGAGCCTTGACTCCTACCTCGGTTTTCCTTCAACTGAGACAACGTCAAGGCAGCAGGAGGAGCTAGGGCCTAAGGAAATACTGCTGAGTGGAAGAGGGGAAAAAGGCTGTGATCCACCTGATGAGTCGCACATCATCCCCCCAGCGTCACGCCAGTGGCTGGGGACCAGCTCCAAGCGTGGAGAGGGCTGAAAACAGCACTTATATTCTATTTCACTTTGGATTGTGGACTATTTGTAACTAAATGGGAAACTTGCAGCTTATATAAGGAAACTTCAGCCTATGCTTCACCATGGCCATTTGGTTTTTACTACCCAGGGCATGAGATTGGAAACTTAAACCATGAGATCACTTCTGGATCCAGCTGTGCCAGTGGCAGGGGATGCTATGTCCAGTGGCTTGTCACCATCACCCAAACCAGAACAGAAGCGCCTCAGCTGCACAACACTTTTTGTACTTCCTCACGCTAAAAGGAGGACAGTGAACAGCAAAGTAACCTCCTTTACAAACACCATCAATGCTGCAATCCAATCCACTTTGGGGGTCTGCAGACATTTTTGTGAACCAAGCAGCAGTTGAACAAATAAATCAAAACAATGGATAAAAATACATCCAAGCAATGGAAAGGAAATCAGCCCGTGGGTTCACACAAGCGTTTGCAAGCTACTTTTTTGCAAAATTAATTCAGGTCTAATCACACTGGTATCAGAAAACTTCGGGGAGCAGCATCACACCAGAGAGCTTACTGAACGTACCTGCTTTGGGTTCAGGAAAGATCCCATGGCTTCACTTTAGCATTCGTACGCCAAGAATGGCAGTAAGAAATTTGGTGTCCGGAAGGCTCATGAGGATGGTTATGTGGACACTGTGTGTCTAGTTTGCTAGTTGAGATCCCACTCACTTGAGTAAAGACCAGAAAGCAGCAGCATCTGATGGCTGCTGTCACTAAACTGCTGATCTCAGCCCACTCCACCACTGCAGCCCCTCTCCCCCTCGACAGCCCATGGGATAATTATTACCAAGAAACACCCTGAACTGTGAGAATATACTTAAGTACTTACGAGCAGCTTGCAACATAAGGCCTTTAAGTTTCAAATTAATAAAACGGACCTGAACAAAAATTTTCCATTTTTACAGAAAACTCAGGATTAGTACAAAAAGGGGTGAGAGTTTCCCAGGGAACTGTATCAGTAACAGGCTAGCAGAGGTATTTTAGGTCCATATTCACCAGAAGATTAGTCTGCACAGTATTTTCCCAAGCAATTACTTTAACCATCATATTTCTGAGATGTGTAACGTAGCGTGTTCGCATCCGTGTACTGTGCATTGCTTTAGAAACAGGGAACTCTCCTTACCTTTCTTTCTGCCTTCTCACTTTCCTTCATTTTAGCCAACGCCTTTTTGAGCTCCTGGGATGTGAATGAATTTGAGTCAACATCCACCTTGCCCAGCCTTGCAGAGGAAACAAAACGAAATGTTATGAGTGAACAACTGTATCTATAATATTTTCATTGTGGTAACTAGCAATGGGTAATGTCAGGAGGAAAGGAACTAAGAGGGCGAGATTTCCATGCATCTCACTTAAAACACACAAAAACCCTCCACACTCAAGAAAAGATTAGTCCGAGTGCTATATTTTGTGTGTGGTTTGCAGGCACCTCATCCTGACAATCAAAAAAGGCTCTGTAATCTGCATGCCGACCCAAAATCTCAAGTCCTAACACAATAAAAATAGTTGATTAATTTATGCCTCTGAATTTCATGTAGCAATATAAAAAAGCAGGAAATGTTTCAGAGGAAAAATAAAAAGCACCGCTGTGCCACTAAATCATTGCTAAGGACTTGCAAGCTTTAACACGGAGATTTACAGCTGAAGTTCTGATGATTGTCATACACAAAGTTAGGGCAAGGGTAAATCCAAGCAGAAATTACACAGAAATGCTACAAAACATGTTGTGTTGCTCTTTATGCCTATCTCATTGGTTCAGAGTGTTTATCTGGGCCACAAAGAATCCTGCACAGAAAAAAGAAAAGCCAACTGTTGAGGCATCAAGAAGCTAAAGAGCCTCTCCGTGCTCTGAACAGGAGTAACTGGGGGAGCGAGGGAAGCCGGGGTAAATCCCATGCACTTTAGGACAGAAAGTTGCCCACGGTAACTAAACCTGTCTTTGTTATGAGTGTGCCAAGGGGAAAGTCAGCGCCAGTGAAACTTTTAAAACGAATTAAAAAAACGTGGGTGCAGGGAATGCTGTGCGATCCAAGGAGCGCGTCGGCAGTAACTGATGTGTAAATGAATGCCGCAAGCCTGCTGGCTGCACCGAGCTAAAAACACTGTATCTGGCTCAGGTCAACACAAAGCCCCTCACAACTGCTCTGATGGTTTAAGCTCAGAAAGTAGTTTCAGACTGATTGCTGCAGACATTTCAAAGGACTAAGTGCCATTAAAAGAAGCCACATTGCAAATTTAGTTTCGGTGTCATGGCATGAGAAGCCACGAAGGTGTCTCTGAACATGCACTCAGGGCACTTCTACCACCATCCCGAAGGGATCACAAAAGACAGGGCTCCCTTTTCAGCACTGCTGAACTCTTAAACCAGCAATTAAGTCTCAGGAAGAGACAGCACTTGAGTGCACCAGGGAACCCGGTCTCTAATAAAAGACATGAAACCCGCAGCCCACCCGCCCCTGATGCTTTGCATCACTGTACCTTTTTCTTCTTCTCTCCTCTCTCATGTCACTCTTTCCATTTTCACTATCTGGGAGCTTGGCTTCTCTGTCTCCCGTCTGCAGATTTAATCGTACGTGTGACCCTGCAGGAACAGCTTGACCTACAAACAAAGGTCAGATTATTTTAGGGCACGTGCATTATTTCAGCTTTGCGCATGGCCGGCGAGCTGAAGGCGCACACTCCTACCCGAGAGAAAGAGATAAAAGCCTCGTCCCGCACTGTGAACGGGAGCGGGCTATCGGCCGCCGACCACTCTCCCCTCCAGCAATGCTCCTTCGACACAAGTGCTGTTTTAACCCCGCAGAGAGGCCACCCTGACCCACCAAACACATCCCCATGCAGCCGGGCTGGCTCCGTGCTGCAGCGGAGGAGGGACCCCGAGCAGAGCAGAGCACCGGCTCCCTTCTCCCTCCCGGGCCAATTCCTAAGGGAGCACTAAAACTCCACGTCAGGAGCGGATTTGGAGACTATTTGGAGAAAGGGGAATTGGTTGCTGATTGGGGTAGACAGCATAAAATACAGCTGCCAAAGTGAAATCAAAGCATACTGCAGAGTACAGCCAGGTACGCTGCATATCAAGTGTTCCAAGGCGAGGCTGTGTTGGTTTGGAAATATTGTATTAAAAGGAATATATGATCACTACTATCTACCAACGAAAATACAAGGAATACATTAAGCTTTGGTTTTAAATGCAGAAAAGATGGGAAATTCAGACTGTTTTTTTCTTGGTCACAATTCACCACACAATTCATGTCACGATGGCCAGCTGTCGCAGAAGGATGGAGAGATGGCAATATTTGGTTGCTGCTTCTTGATGTTGCTTCGTCTTCTTTTAATGCAAAAAATCTGCCTGCTTAGGAGAGCGGGGTCGCAGCTGAATGAACATGGAGATCTCAGCTGCACACAGGCAAAAGCGCACGGACAGACAGACAGACACACAGCCACTCATGCTCTTCTCTCTCGACGAGGTTTCCCTATTCAGCCTTTCCTTTATCTGTCTCCTTTTACCTAAAAAGATGTCTAGGATAAAATAACACAACATGCAGGACACAGATAGCATCTCCTACCAAAGGGAAGCGAAGACAAGGATAATTATTTTGTACAATGAATACATATTCTCAAATATCAAAAGATATGACAAAATCCTCTAGTCTAGGGAACGATGTGATTGATCCCTCCCTCTTCAAGACCAAAGAGACATTTCACTGATCAAAGGACCTGGTGCTTCCTACAAAAGAGTGGAATGTTTGTCACAATTCAGACAAAAACATTTCAAAGCCTAAAGCCATCCAGCAGGTATAAACGCATTTAGAAAAAACAGGAAAATCCATTTTGGAAGATTTCCTATTAAAACAGGGTGCATTTCTGATAGCTCCTCTTTCCCTCCACCATATCCTGTCCATGGGAAGTCGCATTGGGTGGATATGTGAGGGGACAGACGTCATTATCTTCCCATCTTAAACTATGCAAGGACAGGCTCGATATGCCTCTGCCGCACTCGGCACACTTTCCACCGATGGACCCAACTCTTCTCCTGCTCCTTTACTTGTGATATGCAGGAGAGCTTTAATCTATATGTCTCTCTAGAGGAGCATCTTCCCACTTTGAAAAGGTGAGCTTTGCAGGAATTCACTGCGACAGCAGAGCTGCCCCCCTCGCAGGTGATGCACGCAACACAGCCGGGAGGTGCCGGTCGAAAAGGAGTTTGTAGGATCTCCACGAAAAGGACGACACCGCATCTCCTCTCCCTGTTTCAAGAGACACCGAGGCAGGGAACTGCCAGCAAGGAAAAAAAAAAAAGTATATAAAATGGCATTGCGTGCTGAACATACCGATGCACGAGGACATCCTCCTCCTCCACGGGCACGAACAGCACCCAGCGGAGGAGAAAGCGAGGGGCAAGCTGGGTCCTTCCCCTCCCAAAGCCAGCAGCAGGTTCATGCCACAGCAGGACAAACATACTGCTTTATTAAATAAACCAAGAAAGACGTCTCTGTTTTCAGCAAAAAGATTGGCGTAGTCACTTAAAATATTCCAGATGTTTGAGACAGGATGAGGTCTTCAGTCTTGTTTAGTTTGGGGTATTTTGAAGTATTATTTATAAAGTGTGTTTGAGGGTGGGTTGACTTGAATAATGTGATTAAAATTGCTGATTTAAACGAGCAAGCTGGAAATCCTGAATTTTAATCACGTTTCAATATGTAGCTTCTAGACACTTCCCTTAAAAATAGTTGATTCTCTTTGATTCCTATAATTTGATACTATTCAACAACTGGGAGCACGCACCGGAGCGATACATATGTAAGCAATTACACAGCTTCACATGCTGTTGATACAGAATCACACTCTTAATAGCTTTTCCCCCCCCCAGAGGAATTAATTTTTTACTTATTGTTTATATTAAGTTGCATTTAGGAAATGAAACTAAATTAAAAAATAAAAAACAAGTTTATATTTAAGCAATTTTCTGACCTTTTTTCTCCTTGACACCTTAGAAAAATAAACGATGTCTATCCAAACAGGTATGCATTGCATATCTGCGTTACTGAATGAAGCTGAACGGTCTCACCTTCCAGAGATCTCCAAATCCTACAGCCGCTAGATCTCATCCTGTCCTACTCCCTCGCTCTTTATAAAGGGAAAGAAGAGTTTCCATTCTAATTAATTTCCCACCCCCTTACCGTTTTCCCCAAACCCCCCCAGCCGCTAGATCTCATCCTGTCCTACTCCCTCGCTCTTTATAAAGGGAAAGAAGAGTTTCCATTCTAATTAATTTCCCACCTCCGAATCATCTACCCAGTGAGTAGAAATAGCTGCGAAACCCCCTCCATGAACCTGCAGAAAAGGCTATATCTGCCGGAGGAGGAAGCCAGCAAACTCCTTCCCCCACAACCGGTTTGTATTCTTTACTACTTAAAAAATATCCCGTACTTGGAATTTTTTAAACCACAATTGAAGTTATTTGAATACGTTACTGCATCAACTTGGGTTGATGGATCTAAGAGAAAGCCACGGGGTTTAAGCAGGCCACCCAGCGTCCCTGACGGGGACGTGCCGCCCGCCTGCCCCTCAATCACTCAGCCCTTCGTCTCACAGCCAAAAAGATAGCGTCCAGCAGGTAAAATACTTCCAGAGGATAACACACCCTCGCCACTGCACGAATGACAAGGTATTTATTGGGAATAAATGTCAAAGCAAAGCAACAGCGTTTATTTTCCAAGCTGATCCTGTGGCAATACGCTGCTATGACGATATTATTCCTGTTCTTGATTTAATCCCTTTATCTACTGGCACCCACTGCGGCTGCAGAAGCATCAGGGCGGGCTTTGCTCTCCTGCACGAGCCGGAGCATGACCACTTTCTGACTTAGACCGCTCTCCGGACAAACTATTGCCACGCCTGGGTGCTGCCAGGCATCCAGGCATCCGCAGCACCCGCAGCCTAAAAACGCGTGGTCTTTTGGAGGTCCTCCTGGTGCGTTAGCCTTCGTCTTATTTGGGTGTGTTCGTCTGTCCTGAAAGTTGCTTAAAGTGACGCCGAGGAGGAATTTAATTTATAATCCTATTCTTTTAATCTTGGTCAGCCAGATTTTTTCAGACATCCGTTTATTTCTTCTTGTAATATATTAGATGGAGTAACAGCACTGGAGTCGGCTTCAAGGCAGCAACTCACTTGCAGGGGTTCTGCTGACATTTATAAACTGATTCTATTTCTCTCTTGTGTTTTATGTTATCAGCTAAACCTGTCGACTTAAATTATTGCCTTGTAACCAAATCACAGTTATCTGTTATTCTGTTATGTGCATGTTTCTGAAGCTCTATACCTATATCAAGCTTTGCAGAGGTTGAAAACAAGATGATAAATAAATAAACAAATGGAAAACAGAACACGCTTCCGCCACGCTCACAACTAAGGCAAGAATCAGGCGCGTTATATACAGGATAACTAAAAGCAGAGAGCTGCTGTGCTGAACATACATCACGTAGTAATATCCAAGTAACCCCATCTCTCCTTTTCTAGACCAACCAAATGACCAACTGTGTTTCCTCACTAAATGAGAAAGGTCTCATCCTGCTCAGCTCCTTTCCAGTACGTTATTCCATTTAGTGCTGGCCACAAGTGGTTTTGCAACTCTGCACAGGGACAAGGCTGAGCCCCAACTCACTACACAGCAACAGGCAGGCATTAAAAATAACCGGGCAAGTTTTACATCACACATAGACACGCAAATCTCATACCGAGACCGTGCAATAACTTACTGTGCTCCTGGCAGCAGCCGCCCCATCCCCTACCCACCCCTTGGACCTCCGAGCTGCCACCCATCCACCTGCCCAGCAAGAGAAGCGCAAGAGGGACATGAGACACTTCCCCTCCAGAAACACCTTCTGGCACTACTTCGTCCCCTATGGCAGAGAAGTGTTCCCCTGGGAAGGATCCTGAAAACAGAAAAAAGGGTGATCCAGCTCGCCGAGGCGGATCCCCTGGTTTCTCCCCAAGAGAGCGTCCTCGTTTGCCATTGAAAAAAAAAAAGAAAAAAAAATCTATTAACAGTGTGAACACAAAACCCAGTTATGAGTCAGTAACTGGCTCTGCAGTTCTCAGAAATCACCCTGGTATCTGAGCAAGCGTCAGATAGGATCTACCTTTCTTTACTCTTTGTTTCTCTTGGCACAGGGGAGTGAGGGGAAAGGGACTTTCTTTCTAATACAGGCAACAAAAGAATCTGCAAACCAATACATGAATGTTCCCAGCAAAACAAACCAGCAGTGCTGCAATATTAAAAATAATAAGGCTGCACAAGACTGACAGAGCATCCACAAAAAGTTATCTGATGGCACCATACTTACTCCTTTAATAAAATAATGAAAAAAAAAAACCAAAACCCCACAAGGAGACAAATCCTAGGAAGCAGCAGAGCTCCCCTCTGCCACCTCGCTGGCACCACCGGTTCCAGGAGCCACCAGTGCCACGGGTGGGCAAAGGAGAGAGGCTGGGGCATCACGTGCCGGTCATGCATAGGGGGACACAACCGCCCTGGCACTCGCCAGGCTGCCGGCTCCTGCGGTGGGCCCTGCCTGGGGAGAGGACGGGATTTCACAC